ACTTCCATCTATCTTGAAAGAGCACTGGCGCATCATCGAATCTTCAGCGAAACTTAGGCAGATCTTTCCAGAGTCTCCTATACTGGCATATCGTAGACCTAAAAACATTAGAGATCTTGTGGTAAGCAGCAAGCTACATACACCTAACCCTGCTGCGGCGAAAGGCTCTTTCAATACCTGTTACAAGAAGGTGTGCAAATTGTGTCCATACACGCGCACCACAGATACATTTCAATGTACAATCAACGGCAAAGTGTATCACATACTACAAACACATCAGTCAATGTGGTGTACCTTATTACATGCAAAGAAATGCATTTTACAGTGCGTGGGCGAGACCTGCACCCAGCTCAATAGCAGAATCAAGAACCACCGCTGCTCCTTTAAGCAGAACAAACCAGACCTCCTGTGGCAAGGCATTTTAATATGCATAGCCACAGTTGGAAAGACATGCAGGTGGTTGCCATAGATCATTGCCCTACATGGGATAAAACGAGACGAGGTACGAGAGAACGGGTTTGGATCACCAATCTACAAACCCGCTACCCTCGAGGTATGAACGAACGATAGGCGGTTGCCATCCGCTCGTTTTCCTTCCAGGGGGCATTTGACCTAATGGTGCATTACTGCACAGTTGGTCTGCTATATCGCCTGCTTGCTGCTGCATGTCAGTGTGTGTGACCAACAGCCGTTGTCAGATTAATTTTGCACATTTATACAGTATCTTAGCCATTTCATCTACTAATTCCTCCTGCACTCACTTATTTGATAATTACATGCATTATTCCTGCAAACCGAAAGAGGCGACTAAGTGTGGACCCCCCCTGCTGTGACTGTTAAATCCACTGCACCATTGAGAGGCGACTAATAAGGGCAGTCCGTAGATAATTGAGTTTTTTCACATTTACCGGGCCAGATTCCCACGTGCACATGTTCCACGTTTTGATATCTCGTCCCTTCTTTTTGGTGCTTATCTCTCGGTGACCCACTTTATGTGATAGTGCATCTTGCGCAAGAATAGGTCCTCTACCTATATTTAGTAGTTAAAGAGTTTTCTAGAGGGATTCTTCTCCGATTTAGGTTATCATTTGACGGGTCGTCGTTGTGTTTCGTTGGGCGACTAGTCGTCTTAGTGCACTTTCGCTATAGAGCAGGGCCAGCGAGCGTTCTGATATTTTGACTATCAGCGTTCCTTGTCCGCGATGCTCTCAGCTTAATTGCTTCCTTCGGCTGTCTTTAGCCGAGGGGACTATTGGTTTTATATAATAGCTATATTTTCAATTATAGTATATCAGTTCTATCTTCTTGTAATATGATGTATATGTACATATAACTGTTCTGTTTCACTATGTCTTGATAAAGGAGCGGATCGCTTCGGAAAGACAACCTTAACTTGTCCACACTGTTGGAATTACTTCTTTGCCCCACATATATATCAATGACATACAACACACACATCATCACCTGTATTTACCACGAGGTTTCAACGTATACAGTCTCCTTTTAGTCGGCGAGAGTTTAATTATACAGGCGTATTGTCAGGTAACCAAGACAACATAATGACGCAATATGAAGCACTTCTACCATACCGTATCTTCGCTATACAAACACTTCAACCATACTGTATCTTTACTATACAAACACTTCAACCATTCTGTATCTTCGCTATACAAACACTTCTACAATAATGTATCTTCACTATACAAACACTTCTACGATACCGTATCTTCACTATACAAACATTTTACCATACAGTATCTTCACTATACAAACACTTCTACCATACCGTATCTTCGCTATACAAACACTTCTACCATACCGTATCTTCGCTATACAAACATTTCTACCATACTGTATCTTCACTATACAAACACTTCAACCATACCGTATCTTCACTATAAAAACACTTCTACCATACCGTATCTTCACTATACAAACACTCTTACCATACCGTATCTTCGCTTTACAAACACTTCAACCATACCGTATCTTTACTATAGAAACACTTCTACCATACCGTATCTTCACTATAGAAACACTTCTACCATACCGTACCTTCACTATAGAAACACTTCTTCCATACCGTATCTTCGCTATACAAACACTTCTACCATACCGTATCTTCGCTATACAAACACTTCTAACATACTGTATCTTCGCTATACAAACACTTCTACCATACTGTATCTTCGCTATGCAAACACTTCACGATACCGTATCTTCACTACACAAACACTTCTACCATACCGTATCTTCACTATACAAACACTTCTACCAGACCGTATCTTCAATACAAAAACACTTCTACCATACCGTATCTTCGCTACACAAACACTTCTACCATACCGTATCTTCACTAAACAAACACTTCTACCATACTGTATCCTCACTATACAAACACTTCTAACATACCGTATCTTCACTACACAAACACTTCTACCATACCGTATCTTCACTATCCAAACACTTCTACCATACCGTATCTTCACTACACAAACCCTTCTACCATACCGTATCTTCGCTACACAAACACTTCTATCATACCGTATCTTCACTATACAAACACTTCTACGATACCGTATCTTCACTATAGAAACACTTCTACCATACCGTATCTTCACTAAACAAACACTTCTACCATACTGTATCTTCACTATACAAACACTTCTAACATACCGTATCTTCGCTACACAAACACTTCTACCATACCGTATCTTCACGATACAAATACTTCTACCATACCGTCTCTTCACTACACAAACACTTCTACCATACCGTATCTTCGCTACACAAACCCTTCTACCATACCGTATCTTCCCTATCCAACCACTTCTACGATACCGTATCTTCACTATAGAAACACTTCTACCATACTGTATCTTCATTACTCAAACACTTCTACCATACTGTATCTTCACTATACAAACACTTCTACCATACCGTATCTTCACTATACGAACACTTCAACCATACCCTATCTTCACTATAAAAACACTTCTACGATACCGTATCTTCACTATAGAAACACTTCTACCATACTGTATCTTCATTACTCAAACACTTCTACCATACTGTATCTTCACTATACAAACACTTCTACCATACCGTATCTTCACTATACAAACACTTCTACGATACAGTATCTTCACTATAGAAACACTTCTACCATACCGTATCTTCACTAGGGCTGCAACGATACGCATACCTCACGATACGATATGTATCGCGGCACGATACTTACGATACGATACGTATCAAGATACTAGTATCTGCTTAAAAGGTAAACTTCATAAAGATTCAATGCAGGATTGTATCGAGGTTTGCCATAGACTTTGATAGTAAATACTATCTTTACATATATTTGTATAATTTCTAGTATTTTTGGGTATGACTGCATAGTGGACCACATCTTTCCTGAAGGATTAAAAAAATATGAAATCTTTTTTAACGTTCGATAAAAAATAATTGATAATTTAAGCACTGTTAGTGAATTGCAATACAGGTAAACAAAATAATTTGATACGATACACAAGAAGTATTGCGATACAATACGATACGATATATTTTTGCAGCCCTAATTTTCACTATACGGTATCGTAGAAGTGTTTGAATATGTGCTAATAAACACATCTACGAACACCTCTATCGTATCTTTATTCTCCATTAGAACACGAAGAGTTACCTGAATTATACATTTTACATTAACGGTAGATACAAAAGTCTACATAGCGGACATTGTCTACAGTTTTAGGCTGGTTGATTAATGACAAAGAGAGCATGTTTAAATGTTGGATAAATCAAAAAGAAACCACGGGAAAAAAAAACTTGCTTTAATTTAGATAATTAATAGAGAGTAGGAGAGGAGGCATTCTCTGCTAACAATACAATAACCTCGTATACTCCAAAATATCCAGACAGTCACGAAGGAAAGTGACTATTTAGATTCCCCGACAGGTCTGGTCAAGTACAACATAGACAGGAACCTTACACGATCTGCGTAAGGCCGAAATAACTGCGCAAAACAACGTCTAACTTACAGTATGCAACTGCATTAGCAACAACCAATATACATTGCCAGAAGCTAATTCAAAAGTTACGAGACGATCCATAGTGTGGCTACGTTATTGCGTGTTCTAATGAAGTTTTGAAAGTACTTTGATAGACAACTTCGATGACTGGAGATCCTTAAATCTAGACACGCCGCTACAGGGGTAATTGGTGTAATGCAATAAGAGTAAAAATGATTGTCATAGTAATGACATTATTGTGAAAATGATTGTCATAGAATGATATAAATGTGAAAATGGTTATCATAGCAATTATATCAATATGAAAATGCCCAATGTCCTAACGGTAACCGTTAAGGGGATATTCAACTTAAATGAGACTCAATGTAGGTACTGCTTAAATGTAGAAGGCTGATAGCTAATTGCGTATCCTAATGGGCGTACAGTTATCCGTATACATATAAATAAGCTATATAAAGTTAATCTATATTAAAAGTATCCTAGTGAATCAACTTCTCTGCGAAGTCTGACAAATAAGAGATGTTTGGAAGTTCCCGCGGATTTTGTTGTAAAACGTTGGTGTGTTTGGTACCAGATGTAAGAACCAATGACTCAGTGACCATCACACGGGACCGCGGAGAGCATACCCTGTCCGATTGTGGCCTTCATGTGACGGTCCCGTGGTGGAAAACTAGAACCGGACGGACGTTGGACTCCTATCTAACCGTGTTTAGGACAAATATGCTGGTCGATACCGGACCAGGAGCCCCGGAAACTTGACAGGTCAGCTTGGCAATGCCTACACCAACTTGAATGTGTCCAGTTTCCGGGACCAGTAGCGGTAGAGGATGATTGATCCCGGCCTTACGGTGTAAGGGAGAGTATTGGCGCTCTGATATACAGTCGAGGCTTATGCTAATGTGTATATCTATCCTCAAGGCCCTATTGCAGCAGCCATAATATAAACCAAGCATGAAATAGTCGTAGACTTACCAGTGTATCCCACAGGAAGTTGTGTTGTAATCGTCCTAGAGAGGACAGGAGCTTGGTACTGGGAAAGTTGGCATCATCACTCGCCCATTCACCACTTCTACTGTCTGTTATTTATGTATAGTGGGGCTAGTATCCTGTATCCTTCATGTTGAATAAAACACTGGCTAGGCACACAGACACCTTCCTATTCACACACGCCTATAGCCTTGTGTGCTCCTAAACCAAAATTCTCCCGTTTGCGAACAGCACGCGAGAATGATTGTCTGCTAGTATAGAAATCGCGCCCTCTACAGGCGGAGCGGCACGTCTGAACACCAGGGTGATCACTTCACTAAATCGATAGCAGGGTGCTATTTAATTTGGCCACTCAGTTAGTATAACTCTACGCTTCCACCACATGTAGCTATTAATAATATAAGTTATTTCAACAATAAGACAAAGTGGAAAACTTGCATCTGATCGCCACACGAGGGCAACATCGCATGCTCGCACAATCCTACAACTGAACATTTCATTTATAAATGAAGTAACATTTACGAAAATTTGATGTATACAGCAACTTTCTGATAGCATGGTATAATTTTTGTAAATGACTCCACGGTAAGTGGAATGTAAGTATTCTGTGATATATGTATCTGATGTAACTGTGTGGAACACAAGACATGTACATGTATACCTAATGATTGCAAGCCAGGTGTATTGTAAATCACTTCATGGACTACTAAATATTGCAAATGATATCGTGGAACATGTATCGCTCAAGATAAGGTGGTACATGTATATGTATCGGCAAAGATATAGGGGTATATGAATGACTAAACATATCGTGGTACATGTATCGGCAAAGATATAGGGGTACATGAATGACTAAATATAAGGTGGTACATGTATATGTATCGGCAAAGATATAGGGGTACATGAATGACTAAATATATCTTGGTACATGTATCGGCAAAGATACAGGGGTACATGAATGACTAAATATAAGGTGGTACATGTATATGTATCGCCAAAGATATAGGGGTACATGAATGACTAAATATAACGTGGTATATGTATCGGCAAAGATATAGGGGTACATGAATGACTAAATATAAAGTGGTACATGTATCGGCAAAGATATAGCGGTACAAGAATGACTAAATATATCGTGGTATATGTATCGTCAAAGATATAGGGGTACATGAATGACTAAATATATCGTGGTACATGTATTGGCAAAGATATACGGGTACATGAATGACTAAATATATCGTGGTACATTTATCGGCAAAGATAAAAGGGTACATGAGTGACTAAATATATCGTGGGACATGTATCGGCAAAGATATAGGGTTACATGAATGACTAAATATATCGTGGTACATGTATCGGCAAAGATATAGGGGTACATGCATGACTAAATATATAGTGGTATATGTGTTGGCAAAGATATAGGGGTACATGAATGACTAAATATATCGTGGTACATGTATCGCAAACGATTGCGTTGTAATTGCTTCATGCAATAGTGACTATTAAAGTCATGGAAAGTGATCGTGATGACCAGAACATTTAGACTGTTGTACAGTGGCTAAGGTCAAGGACAGGTGATGATAAAGCCTATTAGAAGCACAGAGACCAATGTCAAGGACATTTGATCGCGTTGACTAGGACATCTTGACTGTGAAGTCCAGTGACTATGATCAGAACAGTTGATCAAGGTGACTAAACAATTAAATCCGTTTAGTAGTGACCAAATGTCTCAAGTTCATGATCTCTGTGAGACGACTTCACATATGCTAGCGGGATGAATTCAGGTTCTGATCCAACCTTTGGAGGGTAATTAGTCCCTTGGTCATAACGTTGAAACGGTTGCGATGATCCTAATCCAATAAACATACATATTATATATACAATGCTAGACATAAAGAGAGAACACAAATATAATATTAAAATCGACCCTGGGTTCTGACCACACCCTAGGGACTCATTTCCTGGTCACAACTTGGAAACAGTTAGGATCCCCTCCCAAAAACCATCTATACAATTATTGACTTCAAAGAGCCGAATACACATTTACTACTAAGATGACTCCAGTATCTGGCCTTACCTTTGGAAAACAGGTAGATTATTCCAGTCTATTGGTGTATCATGGAAGGAAGTTGAGGATTCTTTCCCTAAGATTTTCTAAAAATAGAGCAGCTGCCAAGAAGTGCTCATGGAGACATTAATTAGATTATACCAAAAACAGGACACTGTTCAGTTACATATATTGTGTTTTATACCATAATATCAAAAAACCGGTTTGTTCATTTTCATAATTATCATCTTTTCTATTAGAGTAGGAAGTAGGAACTTGGACAGGTGATGCACTACACTGTATAACAGAGGAATGTGAAATACTATATCTTCTTTTAAATACATTTTAATTCTATGTTTAATGTAAAGCAGTTTGTAAAATTTAGAACTGGTCGAAAATTACTGCAAAGTTGTTGTGAGTACCATTAAGTGCATTGTCGTTTGATGTTTAAACTTTGACTCTTTTTTTTAAACTACACGAATGTGGTTCTAACATAATTCTCATCTCATATTCTTTGGTGCTGCTGTTGTTCACCACAATCCGGGCGTCTATTGAAGTCTATTGAAGTAAAGTCAATACAGTACAGTTTGTGTCGACTATAGAACTGTTGAATACGTACAAGCATATAATTTAAATAACAAAAAGAATGTTGATGATGGAGTCATGTACGGCATTAAATATTTCAGAATATTCCTTACCATGTTACCCCTCCCCCTTAAAATAAATACCCCCCCCAAAAAAAAAAATTTCCCAACAAAAACAAAAATGGAACTACAGTATTGGTGTATGTCATATTTGTACTTCTTATCTAATAGCAAAAGGTCCAGATCACCTGGATATTTTAAGCAATTATGACAGAATACTTTCATTAAAACTGATATTACAATTAGGATCGCAGGGTTAGGGCCAGTCATGGTAGTATGGTGTTTCTAAACGTTCATACCGGTGCTTGTATTGTCATAGGATAAGGACCTCACATGCTTCTAAGTTATGACAAAGGACTAAGGCACTTAGGATGGGGGCAGACACCAAGGCTGGTTCTCGACTTATGGTTGTGTTTATATCTTCTTGCCAAGTAATCGTATCTGATTAAGGGTCCATTTCCATGTTATAACACAGAAACGAAGTTACAAGGGGTTGGCAGACCCCGCGACCAATCCTAGTAGCATACCTGTATTAGACTTTTTGTGTCCAGCGGTTGAATATAAGGCTTATGGGCTGGAAACTCAGCCATTCCAAATGGCCCATGACGCAGCGACAACGTTTCCAAGTATGGGGCCAGACCCTGGGTCCAATCCAGTTATTTTTGAGTATTCGTCTCTTCGTACTTATGTATGTGTTATTACAGAGAGGGGAAATCTGAACCATTTCCACGTTATGACCCAATGACTAGGTCCCTATGGGCATGGGGCAAACCAATATCAGTCCTGGTAGCGTATCTGTCTTTGAACTATGACAGTCAAAAACAATAATGTCACAGGCAGGGGATCTCAAATAACAATAATGTCACAGGCAGGGGATCTCAAATGTTCCTATAACATGACCAAGGAACAAAGTCCCTAAGCATGGTGATAGATATCAACGTCAGTTGTGGTAGCATGAATGTGTTCATCTCATCCTGTCCAGCATTAATTGGTGGGGATCTCAAACATGTCCATGGTATGACCCAGAGACAAAGTTAACACAGAAGGGTCAGATATCAGTGACAATCCTGGTAGCGTATAGATTTGTATGATATATTGCATACCCGGAATTTGTATAAAATGTTTTGGAAGTGTATCTGAAACGTGTCATAGTTAAAACCAAGGTGCTAAATCTCTAAGTATCGGACCAGACCCGAGGACAAATCCTGGTTGCTGTGTGTATTTCCCTCTTCATGTTCAGCAAATGTATAAATGTGTACAGAGTGGGGCTCTGAACCATTAACACAGTGGTTTAGTCCCTATGGGCGGGTACAGACCCCAAGGTCGTTCCTGGTAGCACTTCTGTGTTTGAAATTTCATGCACATAGTTACATGGTGGGGATTGTATTGTTTTCAAGATTCGACCTAGTAACTAAGTTCCTACGAGTGTGGCCAGGCCCCAGAGTCAAATATAATATCATGATCGTGTTCGTCTCTTTATACCAAGCAAACATGTACATGTGGTCATGCGGTGAGGATCTCAACCGTTTCGAAGTTATAAGCCAGGGAGGGGGTACATGTAAGCCTAACCCTAACCCTAACCCTAACCCTATAAGCCAGGGAGGGGGTACATGTAAGCCTAAATAGAGTCAAATTAACGTAAGCGCACCCCACCCCTTTCTTTACAATATGGAGATAGACGATTGGAATTGCCAACAAAATGCACCGGTACAATAATTTATACTCAAAATGAGCAGCAACCCGTGTATTTTCACCCCCAGTTGTAAAACATTGGAACAAATTGAAACATTTTTTTATGCTATCTGGAGAATTTAGCAAATGATAAACTTACAGAGGGAGAACCTGTCCGTTCAAGCAGAGACGTATGTACGTCTATCACTTAAGGTTAAACCAATTCACTTTTGCTATGGCCATGTTCCATTTTACGGAATTGTATATTTTTTAACCGAATCCTCCTCAACTGAATGGATGTTTCAACAATAAGTATGTAAATCTGACTGATCAAGTGCACTTTTAAGTGATTCCATCTTGACGGCCTTCGCGGTTCTGCTGCCGTCACAAGACTCCAGACTAACAGTGGAGTCTTCGTCAGCTATACATGGGCTTCCCATCCTTTTGCTTTGTTCCTGACTTTCGTCTGTGGGGTAATTCAGTTCTACTGATTGTGGTTTGCAATGTGACTCTTTGACAGTACTTATTTATATGGAAAATTGGAAGACTCATAATCTACACCAATCTACATGCTAACTTTAGGTATCCCCTTACCCACTTGCTGACATTCCTTTGATGTAATACCTGGTGCATCTTGGGCCCCCTATATGTTATAAGAGGTCAACATCTTAATACATTTCAATTACATAGCAAAGTGATTACAGATTGCTAATATATAAAGCTACTGAATAAGAGCACTGCATTTATCTTAAAGTCTTAATTGTTTCTCTAGAAAACGACTAATTTGAGGTAAAACATTTAAACTACAAATAGAAATTCCTTTTAGCTTAAAATTGCTGGGGTTTGTAGTGTAATAATTATGGATATATAG